AGTCCAGCGAATGTCTGATTTCACAGAGCCTAAACCATGTACACAGACAATGTACCTTTCCATATCGAAAGCATCTAGTCGAACAATCTTATAATAAAGTTTACAGATCAAAATACATACCGCCAAGCTAATTCAGTCACGAGTTCTGCTGGGGCAGCAGGCAGGATCTGACAATTATAGGGAATCGAGACACCAAGAATTTTAGCAAGGGTTCTCAGATAAAGTAGGAAAATAGAAATTACATTGGGAGGATGTAATCACACCTCGTCCTCATACGGATTGCAGTTCTCTTTGAACCACAATCTTAGAAACTCCTATTGGATTAAAAGAAACAAAACATGTGAGTGAACAAAGTACTAAAAACCAATGCAACCTGACTGAGGGCAAAAACAGGCAAAATCACTAACCTTATCAACATTTTCAGGCTCCATGCCTTTTTTAAACCGCTCTTCATATGAACCTGCAAGCCAGTATCTGCTGGAATCGGGTGTATGAATCTATTCACAATGTGTACAAGTGGATGATGATTCTAATCAGTGATTTTGGCAGCTGTGCAGATATGTGTTCAACTGTGCATTCTAAGAGAGACAGACATGGAAAAAAAGAGATAAGATAAAAGACCTCATCAATCAATAAGATTGAGCCATCACTACTTCTTCCAAACTCATACTTTGTGTCCACCAGTATCAGTCCATGTTCCTTGGCAACCCGCTGAAGCAAGCATGATATAATCAAAATCTATTAGACCCTTCCAACAAAGCATAACATTGTATATTGAAGCCAGTAAAATATATATAAAAACTGATTTCTTTTGGTCTGCAATTTAGAGATTATGAAAATCACTATAGGCGGAGTTGCAACTAACCTGCCCAAACTCAAACAAGCTCAAAGCTTTCATACTTGCTTCATAAAAATCAGCTTGTGTCATGAATCCACGTTCAACTATCTGCAAGAATTATCAGGAGAATTAGAAGAAAAACAGACTATACAATTGTAGCTTAAATATTCTTGTCTTACAGCAAAGCAGATCACAAAAACAGCAAACTAATGACTCGAAAGACTTATTTTTTATGGTTTCCACATTTATTTACTGTAACAGATTATTAGACCTCATTTGGAGAGATGGGCACATCATGATCCGCAGCCTTAGTTGTTGGTGTAAGTATATTAGTCGCCGAGAATTCGCCTACTCGCCGAGAATTTGTCTACTCGCCGAGAAATCGCCTACTCGCCGAGACTTCGCCTCCTAGCCGAGACTTCGCCTCGTATTCCTGAATCTTCTTCTTCCTAAATCTTCTTTTATAGTT